AAACACAAGGTACATCATGTCACAAATATGTATGTGCATTTGTTTCATGATTTCATTAACGATAGCCAAATGGCGGCCTCTTTAAGGTCGAAAATGCATTGAAATCGCACATTTTCACCATTCCGAACCCGGATCTCAGTTATGCATGGACGGATTTTGTTCAAATTTGGTACATACATTAAACATAATAGGACCTTGATGCTCATCATTTTTTTTTTCCCGGATCAAGTTCGAAATGGCCGACTGGCGGCCATTTTGTTTTAAAAAATTCAGTTCTGGATCTGTATCCAAGACATGTCTGGATTGATCAAGTTCAAACTTCACACACACATGGTACATCATGTCACAAATAGATATGTGCATTTGTTTCATGATCCGCTTAACAATAGCTGAATGATGGCCATTTTAAGGCCGAAAATGCATCAAAATCACGTATTTTCACAATTCCGGAACCGGATCTCAGTCATGCATGGATGGATTTTGTTCAGATTTAGCACAATGTGTTGTACATATGCAGGTGCATTTCGGTCATGATCTGCTTTGAATGTATATGTCACTCAAATATGAACGGAACGGGGACGTGTCATTGACAATGACTTGTTTTTACACATTTGACGAACTGGTTCTGCCAACGTAATAATAGTTAGATAGTAGCTGAATAAACAGAGATCTCGTCTAACAGAGTGAATAAACAAACACTGCTCAGATCGATAAATATGATATATAGTTAATAATATTTAGTAATCGTTGTCCTAAGTAACTATTCAAAATAGCTAAAAGTTTCAAGCAATGGCTCTTTATCGATAACATCTGGTAGAAGAACATGTTATGCTGTATTTTTAAATGTTTAAACATTAATCTAAGAGAGACAGTAGCCGAATAAACATACCTTGTCTAACAGAGATGGGAGATGTAGTTCAGAATGTGGGGTTTTATCACAATGATAACTATGGTATTTCATATACACAGTAGTGCAATAGTAAGACAATTCAGTTATATAAGCTCTCACCCTTAATGTTTCACTTAAGTTGGAGGATATTTTAGGATAAGTACCATACAGATTTCTGATATGACCATCTTATTTTCTGCAGAAAGTCCAAATAAGTTCAAAATGTGCTGATCTCAACTTTGAGGTGAGTATTTGCTACAAATTTAAAGTTACATGCTTTACCGGTACTACAGTTTTAGTGCCATTTTCAGACGGATAAGCCACCAAAGAGTGAGCTGTGAAACTTAAAACTGCCAATAAAGCATTTGTATTTTAGATTACCTAAATTCAATGGTAACATCCATTAAGGATGTTTTTCATAGGGAGAAGGAGACTGAGAAATGAGGTGTGAACTGAAACAATAGCGTAATGCATAGTCCACAGAAGTAGTAGGTCTTGGAGTGACTGAAATATTGTAGTGCAGATATGGACAATGATATGTTTAGATATCCAAGCTTAGCTATAAAGCTGTAATGACACTTTGTTAATCACTTGCTACAGATGATTGGTTGTCTTGGTGTATCTAAAGCAGTTCTTAATAACGTCATTTTCTGTCATCAAGAGGAAGCCAATTGGTAAGTACCGTATTACCCCGGGCACGCGCCCAGGGCCCTGAACATACAAAATCGGGGAAAAATTGGGGGTGGGCGCTTACCCGAGGATCACCCCAAAAAAGATTTAAAAAAGTTGTTTTTGTGATCGTATGATAAGGTCAAATAAAGGAATGCTTTCGTACACTTTGTACTTGTACTTATTTCTTGATTTATGCGAGGTTTCAATAAACGTGAGCACTCTAAGACACAGGGTCGAATTTCGAGAATAAAACTTGTTTTATGTCAGCGAATGAAGTTGTGCAAGTCGAAACGGCCAGGAAAAACTACCGCTTGTAATCCAAGATGGCGATGACCTCATTTGCATTATTTTGTTCACACACGTATTGATACATTGCATTGTAATTACTGAAGAATAGCAGACAGGGTTATGAAACAAATAAACCTTTTATTACTGATGTAAAATGTTTACAAACTATTGTGAATACATAAACATATCCAAACGGCGATACATAAAAAACAGACTGAAAATAAACTCTGGTCGACCTCATTAACATGATCTATTCACGCACCCACACACATGACAAAAATTATGATGCAACAAGTTCCCATCATCGGCATGCCTCATTATGGTTATCGTAATGGACTTGAGGTCGGCAAAATGTTTTTTCTTCAACGACAGAAAAATAATCCACATGACCGTAATGCCATAGCTGTGATGAAGGATGGAAAGAAAGTAGCAAGTTTACGACGTGATGTCTCAAAAGTGCTAGCTCCCGTTATGGATTCACAGTCAGCGAAGTGCTACATTTTGAAACCAAAGCTAAGTGCTTCAAACCACTCACCAAGGTATGGATTATTGCAATATTGGATTCATCGTGAATGAAGAGAAAGCAGAATGTGTGCGCCACATGCTACTTGGTTCATCTTACGTCGTTAAGTTCCAATGAGTTTTTACGTAAAAACACAAACAAAGCGGCCCTTTTCAGGGCCACCACACACTCCAAAAAGAGAACTATCGTAACAAATACACTATTTAAATAAATCAAACGCGTTCGTTTTTGACAAATAAAACTTTATTGTTGACCCCATTCTTGGCTAAAAATCAGCCTGGGCATTTAACCGAGGATGTCCCCAACATGTAACTTTTGTGAAAACAGGGGGGTGGGCGCTTGCCCAGGGAGGTACGCGTGCCCGGGGTAATACGGTAAGATGTTATTTTTTTTTATTCCATTGTATGTCCAAATATGTAAAACAATGTTTTTTTTAGCGTCTAGTTACCTGAATCTGCAATACTCAAAAAAATTAAATGGCAACTACTTATCTCCAATATAAGCATACCTGTTTATTGATGTTAGCATAGACACTTCTAATAGTAGCGCCAATCTAATTGTGGGCAAGCAAACACACAGATACAAAATGTTTGTTTACACATTGCAGGCCACTGAGTGAAAGTAAAGCATTGAAAACTAAATTTGATGAAATATTTGCTGCCACCAGGTGAGAATTAAGTAAATCTTGTCAACTCAGACAGTTTTTAATCTATATGAGTTATGTTTACTCAGCCTCCTATCATAATTCTCATTATGAGTGTGCATGTCTAACTGTATAACCACAAACTCAGATAAATATTATAAGGCAAATTTTAACTGTCTGAACTGTAAAATTTTCTAAAAGTTGTGCATGTTGATTTTCGTAAAATAAATCTGTCGTCACCTCTGAAGGCTGTATACTCTGAATGTGTGCCATCAGATCGTGTTTTGTCAGATATCTGAAAAAATTTGTCCTTTGTTATTAATCTGTTTTACACAGAAGCAAATTTATTCCTTCATGTTTTTGAGAGTAATTGTGTCTCTCAGGAATAAAATTTGGCATTTCTCAAACTATTGAGCTAATAAACTGACAGTCACTCAAGTGATAAGTAACCTAATTTATAACTTTTATATAATGACCTACGATAGCGATGTATTAAAATGACAAGCATTCCATACTTCGAAATTTATTATAGAATACACATTTCAAACAATAATATACTATTAATATTTAAATCTCTTACAGGTATATTAAAACTTTGGATCATATTAGAAAGTTTAAACAAGAGCAGGTATGTCATCTCACAAACTGCTCCAAATAATGTAGAGTTGTTATAATATTGATTCATACTATCATGTTTAGAAAGAATATGGTGAACCTCAAGTGTTTAATAGATGATTTTATCTCTATAAAGTAAAACTTCAAATTGAATTTTAGCTTTGCTGTGATCTAATAGGAAATGATAATTAGTCCCTGCTGACATCGTCTGAAACAGGAAGTTGTCTTGAGTTTCTCTCATTGTGCACTCAGCACCATTTTTCAGACACGCCTTGATAAAATTCATTCAAACTTGGTACAAAGTTGTAGTGGTATGCATATGGACATCAATTTGTTTCTCTGTTTCAGAGATTTTTTAACTGACTGCTATTTTTGTTATTTGAACATTGTCAATCATTTCTCAGGTGTACCTCAACCAATTTTATCCAAATTTGGTATTGACATCACCCATATTGGGTTACTGATGCACATCATTAATTATTATTTTATTCAGAATAGTCAAGTGGTGGCTATTTTGTATTTTCTCATGTGTCCTACTTCTTTCTAAGACTCGCTTTCACAGATGAATTTTGGTTTTGTCATCTATGTATTCTTAATTATTGGAAAGTATTGCACCCACAACTTGTGGGAAAGTTGCATATGTATGAATGAAGCCTAATGTTTCTGTGATATACATGTAATAAATATACGTAATGCCTGTTTATTTATGATATCCATGCACGCCATATATATTATCGTTATATTTGATGTTGTAGTGATAGCACTGATGGCCTATGCATGAATTATGTTAATTAGGGTCAATCTATGTCCAGAGATGCATGGTCGGTATTGAAAATCATTTAGTTTTTTTTCTGTCCGAATTCAATTCTTGTTGTAACCACGTTCCTGTACCAGTTGCACTTTTATACTCCTGTAATAGTGTAGTCATTTTGGAAATAAATAGAAGTTGATGTATCATCGTTCATTGTCAAAAGACCTAACCCTTGTCTGTATTTCTGTGAAGCTATTCATGTATTTCTTCAAAGACATGGTGGGTGGATCTTGTTACAGATACTCTTTGTCTAAAACTTAGATTTGCTATTATAAAAATTACATCTGTATGAAAAGTAACTCTTCTTTTCTTGTGTAGCTTGGTTCTATACGTGAATATCAAGCAGAAATCAAATATTTGAAGCAAAATAAAGAGAAAGCTACTGAGGTGAGTAGATATCACTAGATATTTTCATGGTTTTCTACTCTTGTATGCAAAGCACACAATGGAGCTCTTTGCTGTTCTATCTGATCAGATTTCAGGGAAAATTTGGTACATAGGTGCTCTGGGACAATACACAGACTTGATTAGTTTTGGGTGAAAATCTGCATTTTAATTACCCAATATGTATAATTTTTGGCTTTTCAACTGATATCTCAAGTAGTAATCATCAAATTTCAATGTTAATCTTGAAAAGTTAATCTTAAATTGATTTTAAATTTGGTAATAGTTGAAAATAATACATCCACGTGAACCTGCTCATATGAGATCAAAGAAGTCTCTGTTTGAACAGCCATATACATCTAACTGCGCCATCGCTAAGTTTCCTTGGTGAACCACGAGTTCTGTTTCTTGTTTGCATGTTACCATGTTCACACAATCGCAGACATTATTTGTAAGGGTGCCCTTTGAAATGACACATTTTCTCGATGTTTTAGTGAGTACTCCACGGGTATATAGCGTGTTCTCACATTAGCATAATTTTTCTTGAGCTCAGTCATCGCTTTCCTATATGCATTTCTCGCTCTTTGCTGCTAACTTTTTTGCACTCTAATATGTTGTTGTTTGTCTTTCTAAAATTTGTTTTTGATTGACATTCAATGAGATCGTTTGAATTTTGAATTTGATGGTGGTTCGAATTTATCCACTTGTACAGTGATCAATATTGTGTTCGAGTTGAGTTACTAGTAATTACAAGCCTGATTTACATTTTTCTTGCGGTGTTTTGTCAATGTATTGAATAATACAAGTGCTTTGGGAAATAGCATAATTATATTGCATGAATGAAAGAGTCTGGTGAGACTGTGTCACAACACGTTCTATTTATTTTTAACGCGCATGGTCGGCGCCTCTGATTGCGTTTATTTTGTTTTTTTATTTTTGAAATGTATCACTGGCTGCGTTTGTTTTGTTTTATGTTTTCCTCAACAATTAACTGTTCTGAGATCTCTTTCATTTTTCGTCCGGCTGCTGCCAATCCAATAATTCGTCGCGGCCAATCCAATAATTTGTCGCCACATGTACAGACAAGCGAGTTATCGTCACAGTCATTATACTAGTAGTTAGAGTCCAATTGATTTGTAGAAATTCAGCTGTGCGTTGATTATATGTGCAGTTTTGTTTTGCACACCCAGACACAAGCAAAAGTTGAACCGATAGATTTTCTGAACTACAGCATTCGTATTACTTATGCAAATTGAGTAAGGGTCATAGTATGAGTTGCGTTCGCAAATTATTTTGAGCACCGTTCAAAATAAATTTAGTCAAAATCACACACAGAAACACACACACATCACACAAATACTAGTACTCCATACAAATCACGATTGATTGACTAGTTATATAGCTGCTTGAATTACGCACACAAGCACGTAAATATGTAAATACAGGTCACAGTTCGACTTGCATCGCAAACGTTACAATGTGTCAAGTAATTTGAAGGCGTCTTTATCCCCCCATTCCCAATACAGAGAAGCAATACGTGTTGTATTTTGAATCGTCATCAAAACCTAAATTTATTACAAATAAAAACAAAAGTTGATACATACAATGTACGATCATCGTTACTCCAGTGGTCGGTTGGCAAGTGGACGATATGCCAGCCATAGCAGGAGTGAGCGAGCGAGCGAGTGAAAATAAATGCGGTCAGTTCACGGTCGGAAATTAAGCGATAAACGGTTGGAAAAAAAGCGATAAAAGCAGGAGGTTTGGCGAAATAAGTACTGCATAGACACTGTTCAGAATTAATTTTTTTTTTAGCTCCGCTGTCGACTTTGTCGAGCGGAGCTTATCATATGAGTGATTGTCCGTCGTCGTCGTCGTCCGTGTCAATGTTTTACTTTTTCGACTTCTTCTTGAAAACTACAAGCCTGAATGCTTTGATACTTGGTGTATATGTACCTTGGGTAGACCTCTCTCAGATTTGTTCATTTCATGATGATATCTTCAATTCTCTAATTTTGGTGAATATTGTTGTCATTTTTAGTAAAAAGTGATATTTTTGACTTCTTGTTGAAAACCGAAAATGCAATTGCTTTGATATTACATATATAGGTACTACATGTGGACCTCTCTCAGATTTGTTCATTTTGTAATGATATCTTTAATTCTCTAATTTTGGTGAATATTTTTTGTAATTTTTGGTAAAAGTGATATTTTCGACTTC